ACATTTAGGGCATCCTATGTCCACAGTGTGTCCCAGTTTAGGTTTTAAATCTTTACTTTATATCCTGGATTAAACACTGACGGACTCTGGTGTGGGCTTCGGAGAAATAAGAATGAGCTCTGGGTTGAGGAGGGGAGCGCTTTGCAATTTCCAGGACATGAACCAGGTCACCTCAGGGGTCTTTTCCATCTAGTCTAGGTTCCTATTTCTTTGCCCCCTATGGAGTTTTGAGGAAATAGAAAAGCCCAAGAATTTAACCTATCATTTAAGAAATGATCCCGACTAAATAGTATCTCCACCTACAAGGCTTGTTGTATAGGTCCAAATTGTATACAGATCTGAAAAAAAACAAAACAACTGGCCCAGCAGGTGATACCACAAAGGTTGACTGCAGGTTGACTGCAGGGAGATTAGGCAGCCACCCAGAAGTTGGTTCACAGCAGCTTTCCCTTAGAAAGCGTCCAGGAGGCTCCCGAATGGCCCACTGATCACAGGCAGGGAAGGGATCTGAGGCGTGGGCTCGTTTCGTGTAAGAAGCTACAAATGTCCAAAGAAAGGTGCTCATCATTCCCTTCCAGCCTTTTCTGGCAAGCAGCGAAGCGCACTGGGGACTGGGTGGCATGGAGGGAGCATTTTGCAGTTTTACCTCACAAGGTTTCGCAGAGCTGTGGAGCAGCTCTGCTGGATGATGAGAGAGGCCTCCTCGGCAGAAGTGGAGAGCAACTGGCAGGCAGGCGCCTGATCCCCGGCTGCCCGCTGAGCGGAGTGGAGCGCACAGCAGAACCACAGGCTTTCATAAATGCTTCATATCAGACAATGAAAATGTGGCAGCTCTGCCAGCCCACAGGCCTTCAGGAAACCAGGCGTCAGTAGCCATATCCACACACTGGCATTTTTCAGTCATTTTCCTGCTTTTATTTCTCAACTTAATTCCATCTTTCACTGCCTCCCTGTTGCTTTTTAAAATAAACCTAACCTTTCACTCTGTTCTCTTTCCCCTAATGCTAACTTAAAGAGCACAGAGAATTCTTGGTAGAAGGCCACCTCCTGAAGATAGATATTTTATCTCCAGCTGCATCTGGGAAACTTGAGAAAGACTTTTCCATCAGTTGCCTGGGGAAAAAAATCTTAGCTGCCATGTGCTTAAGACTAGCCATTGCTGTCTAGCCAAATGATAAAATATTTATGTTATAAGCACTGGAAACTACAGAAAGGGGTAGGTGGTAAGGATCATTGGTTTATTTCCTTTTTTATCAGATAATCTTTAAGTTCATACCCTTCTCCAAAGTTATATCAGAATCTCCTGAGCTGGAATAGCCTCTGTGGTTGTCACAGACACGGGGGCTGTCCCCATGGGAAAAGTGGAAATCTCAGAGTTCTGCCTGCAGAAAAAAAGTAAAATTTCCATCAGGCATGTTTGTATCTCTATACGGCATCACCAAGAACAGGCAGTCCAACACCAGCCTTCTGACGCTGGTGTTCGGGTTGTTCCACCAGGAGATGTAATCTCCTTCATCCCCAAAGAAGTCTGGCCACTCCCTTACTTAACTGGCATCCAGCTCCACATTCAATCAGTCACCAAATCCTGTTCATTTTCTATCCTTAATATCTTCAATCACAATCCTCTTCTCGCCATCATCTCTGCCCCACCCTAGTTTGTTAAGCATAAGGGAGTTATTCCAAGCCTGAGGATGAAGAGTTGATAGAAATGAAATGACGTAGCAGGGCCAGGATGAGGGTGAGGCAAGAGAGGCACCTAGGGTGCAAAATTTCAGGAGGCACTCACTCTCAGGATCGTGCAAGTGTGGGGTCAGCTGAGAATGAATGCCTTCTCCAGTTCATGCCCTAGTCACCTTTTTTGTGTTACCCTAGTCCCAGCTGCGTGATGTTTTTTTTATTTTAAAATACATTGTTGCCAAAATCCATGTATGCTCATCCAGACACTGCATGCATTTCTCCCAATACTGCAACATACTCATCCAGGGCTCAGGTGCTGCCACTTGGTGTCTGCATGCTTGGAGGATCTTGTCTATACATGGGAAGGATAAGAAAGACAACTATGTTTCTTGAGTTGTCATTTTTCTTTATGGAGGTTTTCCCTCTGGTCTGATTTCAGTCTCTGGTTTTATATTAAGACACCAGCATGTTCTGTCATCACAGAATACCCTTGACACTTGGTCAGGTAAACAGCACATGGGATAGGTGCCATATGCAGTATCAAGAAGCACAGGTAGAGGTGTGTGGTGATCCAGGATGAAGGGCACCATGAAGAGAAGCGAGGTAAGCCGTAGGTACCCGTTATTGGCAATAAAGTATCAACACCTGCCAATGATTTGCATTTTAGATCAATTAGAGCAGAATCAAGGTTATCTCCAAAACAACATTCTCGCATTCTCTAGAATTTTCTAGAGTTCTAAATGCTTTCTTCAGTAGGAGAGAAAGAGGTGGCTTTAAAGCTGGCCTTCCCAGCACTGTTTTTACCTTTTAAACACTATGTACACACGCGCAAGGTGCCATTATCCGTTAAGTGTGTCATGTCAGGACAAAAAGGCTGAGAATGGCGGCCCTGTGTGTTTGAGCTTAGTAAACCCAGGAGGCCCTAGATGTATGAGTTCTTCAAACACTGTCTCTCAAGCACCTCTTGAGTGCTTAAGTGAGGAGAAGTTTTCCAGGAATTATCTGCATGTATTTGGATCCCTGGTTGGGGCCCCAAAGGTGGGTCCTGGAGTGATTTACATCTCCTTTTTGTTCACAAAATACATGTAGCCCCTGCCACACACACAAAGTAGCTTCTCATCACAGTCCTCGATTAAAAGATCCTTCACCTATCCTCTCTTTTTTCTGGTGGACTGGCTTTCACCTTCAGGCTGAAATTTACCTCAGAAGATACTTGATTTAACTGGTTCTTTTAGATCACCTCCAGTCATCCTCAGTGACTCATTCTCCCACTGTTGTGTACTCATATGTGCACATGCATGCACACACACACACACACACACACACACACACACACACACTGGAATTGCCCTTTTCCTACCCTTTACAACTGCTTTGGTCATAAAAAGCTGTTCATTCAAGGCCATTCTTCTCTCCTAAATTACTGTAGTTGTCTCCTGGCTAGTCTCTCTTCCTCCAGGCCAAATCCCTCCCATTCTCCATAGGAATAAAACATACCCATGAGACGTCTTGATATGTTGGTCACAGACTTGCATGTTCTCTTGGGTGTATAATGGTATAATGGGGGAACAGAGTCTCTGAGGCCATATAGACTTGGGTTTAAACCCAGCTCCATCCTCTATGACCTGTGTGCCCGTCATCACCTTTGGGCATCAGGATCTTCATCAATAAAAAAGAATAATAATCTCTACCTCCCAGAGTTTTTATGAAAATAAAATAACATAATGCCGGTACAGCAGTTAGCGCAGTGTCTGACACAGAGTAGGGTTTTAATAAAGGTTACTCCTCTCTTCTCTTTGTTATCCGAAGTGAGGTCTTCTAAGGGTAAGGGAAATACTGTGCAAATTTTCTCCACATGACCTTTCCTTTGGAAACACTGTTAGTACTAGCATTTTATCAGTTGGCACTCCCTTGTTGAAAACATCTAGGTATTCTGAGAATAGATTTTGAATCCTGCTTAGATTTATTTTCAACATAGTCCTACGGAGGGGTGAGGAAAAAAAGCACTGATGAAAAAATAACTTTATGAAAGGAAAAAAGAGAGGTTGTAAGTAAATTACTGTTAGCCTATTGCTTTTTGTGTTCTAGTTACTTCGATTCTATTGCAGGGTTACAACAGAAGACGTGGGTTACACTTTTTACCTGTCAATTTTACTCTTATAGGCTGATCCTTCATGATACCTTTTCTCTGTTCTTGCAGAAGTAACTTCCCACCTTAATAAATCCAAGGGGACATTCCAGTTATTTGTTTTAAGGGAATTTTGCCAAATATTGTAAAAATAACATTTCCCATCCACAAGATCTTATGAGAAAATAGAGCCTTTCTGTCATTAGTAAGCCAGTGAGTGGATTCTGCTGAATCCCAAAGAGAAAGGAAAGATGCAACACGAACAATTTCTTTCTTTCCCTACAACTCCTTTCATTTTAATCCCTCCGTCTCCCCTCCCCACCCTTAAGCTTACACATTTTTTTCAAGAGGTGTTTGCTGGGTTAACGTTTACTTAAATGGTAATGATGTTGGAAATTAGAAGAAATGTTCCTTCTCATTTCAGCACCCTCCAGGCTTAAGCATTTTGTTGTTGTTGTTGTTAAGAAACGTTGCATGTCAACTTTTATTTAGATGATGATGACGTTCGGGGTCAGAAAAAATTTAAGTTCAAGGATAATGACTACTTGGTGGCAAGATAGAGGTTTCCCTTCTCTACTTCCCACCCATAATGCTGTAGAATTTAGACACCTTCTTTGTTATAGGCAGGAGTTCTTACGTAAATGGGAACCAAAAGCTGAATGCCTTACATGGAGCTACTTCTTGAAGAAAATTGATTATAACCACTTCGACACAGCTCTCTGCAACTGGCCATTCATGAAAATATGACAACGGCTTTCTTATATAGACTGCATCTTTAACACAGAATTTAGCTTTAAGGGATTTTTGCCTGTGCCTCAGAGGTGGAATTGTCTGGCCTGGAGAGCGTGGAAGTCTTTTCTTAGTGAATTGTGATATTTTACTTAGATTAGCTGCCTGGTGATGTAGACCAGCAGTGGCTGGGCTTCCTGACGTATATGTTAATCTCAAGTTCCATTTTGGACAGGGAGAAGAGGGGGTATTAGGGGAAAGGGAGATTGAAGACTACAGAAATGGCCTTAACCAAATTAATAACTAATTTCTGAAACTAATTAATTTCTTCTCTAACTTTCCTTATTGGCAGATTATGTAACATGCTGCTTTTTTCCATCTCAGCCATTTCTTTCTCAAAGCTGATCACAATTCCTACAGGATGCATTCACTTTAAATCCACCCCTTCTCCTATTTTCTCTTCCAGGTAGCAATAGATTTCACTGCCTCAAATGGGGACCCCAGGAACAGCTGTTCCCTGCACTACATCCACCCTTACCAACCCAATGAGTACCTGAAGGCCTTGGTGGCTGTGGGGGAGATTTGCCAAGACTACGACAGGTATGAGACTTCCGGTCGGCTCTGGCCTTATCATGTCTTGGTGGGTTCTGATGGTTTCTGGCTGATCCCTGGCAGAAGAATGGAAATTAAGTCTAGCATCTCCTCATGTGGAGGCTCATGAAGGAACAGAATAAAAACTCGCCCCAAATGTTTTATCCTCTCCTCACCTAGAGAAAGTGAGGTCATGCCATGCTCACCTTGGTCACCAAAAAAAAGCCTCTCTCAACTTTCTTCTCTTTTATTTATTTATTTTTTTTTTTTGGTGAGGAAAATCAGCCCTGAGCTAACATCCATGCTAATCCTCCTCTTTTTGCTGAGGAAGATGGGCTCTAAGCTAACATCCACTGCCAATCCTCCTCCTTTATTTTCCCCAAAGCCCCAGTAGATAGTTGTATGTCATAATTGCACATCCTTCTAGTTTCTGTATGTGGGACGCAGCCTCACCATGGCCAGAGAAGCAGTGCGTCGGTGCGCGCCCGGGATCCGAACCCGGGCCGCCAGTAGCGGAGCACGCGCACTTAACCCCTAAGCCACAGGGCCGGCCCCCAGCTTTCTTCTCTTAATTAGCTTGAAAGACCGCTGGGTTGCAATTTTGGTTTTCATTTTGCAAAGTTTTAGTATATGCCTTGCTATTCAAAGTTTGGCCCATGGACTAGCAGCATAGCATCACCTGAGAACTTAGCATCTCAAGCTCCATTCCAGACCTACTGAATCAGAATCTGCATTTTAACAGGATTCCCAGATGCTTTGTGTGCACTTTGGTGTTTAAGCACTGGTTTATTGAACCTTATTGCATCTAATCATCACATTAACCCTTATGTAGTAAGTATTGTTTAACAGAAGAGGGAAACTATGGAAACTATGCAGGGGGGTTAAGTAATCTGTTCACTGTCACACAGCCAGAGGCAGGATTTGAATCCAGATCTATCTCATTCCACAGCCTAAGCTCATAATCGCTGTGTTTCACCTACCTGAAAAGCTATTGGTCACTTTAGCAAAGAATGTGTGTCTGCCCATGTGCACGTGTGTGTGTGCCTATGCAAGTGTGTGTGTGTGTTTGTATATGTGTATATAGAAAACATGATTTTGAGATGAGATCAGTATTATATTTGTTTTTACTTGATGGTAAATATTGACCTTTCCCACCCAGAGAATTCCCTGTAAGAAGCGATTTACATCAATTGCATTCAGCTGAATTTTTTCTACCTTTCCAGTACTTCCAGATTGATGTGCCGTTGTTCACATATTTGTTCAAGAAGGCTTTTTGAAGTAGAGCCAATGTAAATATAAATAGGGGTAAATCTCAGCTGACCCCCTGTTGTAGTCATAAAACAAGGCTAGGTAGTAATGAGCAGCAACTAACTGACTGACCTTTTAAACCCGGAAAATAAAGAAAGTGACTTTATCCTCCAGTTTCAGAGAAATTTTATGAGACAGCATGGTTTCTGTTCTTGGTAGTCTCAAAATTGGTAATAACCGTATTAAAAACCTGTTACCCCAGGCACCGTGGGGAATGATACAACCTAGTGATCAGAATGTACAGAGAAAACAACAGGACAGGTAACAGGAAAGGTCCCATCAGTGTCCTTCTTGCTGGTGAGTCTCTGGATTCAGCTTGATCAGGGCCAGTAACTCAAATGGGCGTGAGGGCAGTTGGCGAATGAATGAACAAGTCCAATAAAATCAAAGAGATTTGAACACTCAGGCCCTTGCTGACACATCCCCTCCTCTATCTTGAGAACAGAGGGCAATAGCATTTTAAATTACCTTGTTGAAGTGGTACTTCTTATACTTAACCTTGAGATATTGACTCTGACAATAACTTGAATTTCAGCTCTGATTTCTTTAGGCCCAAATACCCGGAGGATTCCTAAAGAGGTTTATGTCATATGGATATTTCTACCAAGGAAAGAAAAGACTGACCAATTGCATTTCCACTGTCAAACTTCTCCAAACTTCCCCAAGACACCACAATAGTAATTCTCTCCCTTCTAACACACACACATACACAAATAATCTAGTATAATAATGTGTACATAAAAGATAAGAAAGAAGGGAAGGAATATCTTCACAATTCTTAATAATTTTTAAATTCTTGAACTGCCCATAAAAAAGATAAAGTAGGTAAAAGCATTTAATATATATGTCATACAATAGATGCTTAATAATAAAGTTGCTTCTGACTCTGCTGGGGAGAAGGCCATGTAATAATGAATTCCAAAGAGAAGATCGGCAGGTTGGCCAGAAATTAAGGAGCTGATGCCCAGAGCCCTCTCTGTGGTTCTGTGGCAGATTTACCGGGTGATCCGGAACAAGCTGCTGAACTTCTGTTTGCTGATTACCTCACGTGCAAGACGCGGATACTATAATCAGAGTGACCTGTCCATCTTTTAGAGCCGTTATCCCTTTAGAATGTGAGCCAGACAAAGTATTCCCTCAAAAACACAGATTCCGTGTAAAAAATAAGATATAACACATTAGGAGTTCCATGAAGAATCTCGTATGTGATTCTTTTTAAAATTTTAGTAGGATAATAACAAAGTTATCGGCCCCAACTGGCCAAGAAAATCAGGTTTCTTCAGCTCAGTGGAGCTTGTTAAAAATATGTATAAAGAAGGCAGCTCAGCATTAAAATGGGCAAATACCTAAGGAAGAAAAGGAGGATTGAAAAGCCCGGGCGCTCTTTTAAAAGACTCCCTAGAAGAATGTGTAATGCAAGCTGCTAGGTTGAAAACTGACAAGGTTCGGGTTTCTCTTTTGTGTGGGTGGATAGACAATAGACAGGCAGAGTCAGGAAATTTCAAGTCTGGGTCTTTGGAATTAATTTATTCTCACATCAAAGTCAGGTTGATGCTCAAAAAGAAACACTTGAATAAAAACTGACAGAAGGCACTGTTCCCCCTCCTGCAGCGACAGGGAGGTTTTTAATCCCCATGAGCCTTAGAAATTCCTCCCAGCCTCTGACAGCCAAGGGTTTTGTTTCTGCCTTGTACAGTCATTGCCAATGGGTCATTACGAGGTGATCCATGAATAGAACAGCTTGAGAGACATGTAAAGCTCTTCTCAGGGTGGCCTTGAGGGGAAGCTCACCCCAGATCTCTGGTTCTAAGCCCAGAAGGCTGTCCTGCCAGCTTGTTCTGTCTCTGTGCCTCTAAAGGAGAGACCACTGCCTGTTCTCTCCCCTTTGACTCCCAAGGATGCACATGCACATGCTGCTTGGTCTCAGCAGAGATGTGGGTCTCTGACCACTGCAATGTTCTCTAATAACAAAGCTGGTCTATATGCTCTCAAGAGAGTATTAGATACTGAATACCCTGTTTGGAAGTACAGACTGCCATTTTGTAGATTTGGCCACCCCAGAATGAGACAGGGATATCAGAAACTGAGGCAGGAGTCTCCTGCATGGTTTGCTGGATACCATGCTGGGAGGCTAGGTTGGAACCCAAACCCAATCTGACAGGTATTTTCGAGTGTAGAGGATTGGGTTAGAATTCAGAAGACAGGTTCATATCACAGAATTACCTTATCCACTCTACCAACACCAGTCAATGGTTCTCAACCTTGGCTGCACATTGGAACCATTTGGGAAGACTTAAAATATGCTGATGCCTGGGCTCCACCCCAGATACTCTAATTTAATTAGTCTGGTGTATATGCTGGGGATCAGGATTTTAATTCTAATGGGCATCCAGGGTTGAGACCCAGAGTTAAATCGGGAGAGATGGGTCAGATGGAATGGCTAAGGACCTAGGCAACACCTGCTGGGTGCCAGGCACTCACCTGGTGCTGTAAAGACAGAGAGAAATGAACAAAGCACAGTTTTCCCCCACGTGGTTCACAGTCTCATGGGAGGGAAAGGCACGTAAATAAATTGCAGCCCAGCAGGACCAGGGCAGCTTTGCTTTGTGTAAGGATGGGTCCTGCATAAGGAGGGAAAGGAGGTTGTCCAGGAGGGCCCCCTGGGGATGGTGAATTCTGCTAATTCTGTCCCTTGTTATAAGAACATGGATGGACTTATCCTTATTATTCTGAATCATTAGAGCAGACCAGCCTCCTCTGAAGGGCAGAATCAACAAGGATGATGGAAAGAGCATGGGGTCCTGGTGGCAAGGGACCTGTGTTCAGACCCCAGCTCTGCTACCTCTGTTCTCCTTAGGTTTACATTCTCTGGGCCTTGGTTTCCTTGGCTGCAAATGGAAGGTTTATCTCACTTCCCTGGCAGAGCAGTTGTGAGGATGAGATGCTATAAAGTGGCTGGCTAGCACAGGTTCTGCCTGTTGTAAGCACTCAATAAATGTTAGAGGTTGTTATCTTTAACATTCTTAATTTATTTTTAAAAAATAAACTGAACACAAAAGGAAAAAGGACTATAGCATTAGATCTAAAAGTCATTTTGGACCAGTTACCTTTAAAATGTTTTTGCTCATATACCCCTAAAAAGAATTTTATAAAAGCGTGTTCCCTCACACATTTTTCCGTTTAAATCTAACGTTTTCCATCATGAATATAAATAGTGACAAAGAATAAAAATTCTAGTGTATTGTAAATATGGACATTTAAAAATAAAACTCTTACATAACTCTCTTGAATGCATCCAGTAGAATCTAAATGCCATAGCTATTTGATACCCACCATCATCCATTTAAAAAATGCATGAACAAGCTCTTCAGTTTGAGTGAGAATTTTGTTTCTTTTTTTCATGAATTCATATTTCCATTCCCTTCCCCCATGGAATTTCATCCTAGTGTATCTTTAAAAATTTGGTTTGAAATTTTTTTATTGATCATTGGAACATATGTTTCTGTAATAAAAATATGAACATAAATTTTAAAATTTCTAATTTCTGTGATGAAAAGATTCAAAGTATTTTAAAAATATCTTCTGGTTGAGTTTTTATTACAATCATTATTAGTGCATAATTGATCACAGGAATATAAATATATGGGGAATTTCAATACTTAATTATTGCCTAAAAAATTTAAAATGAAAAAAAAATCTTAATGAAACAGATGGTGGGAGTTTTTTTCCCAATTAGTTACATATCTGTAAATGAATGCTACCTATTACTAGAATGGGAGAGTCTAGCATCAATTCTAATCCAATTTTTTTGTTTTTATCAATGTTAGTACTAAGAAAACTTGTTCTTATAAATAAGTACGTGATAATGGAAAGAGTTTAACTAACAGTATTACTCAATTCTTTCAATTCCAAGTTATACATCAAAAAAAATCACTTAATGGTCAATCATCAAAATGTATTTTAATGATCTACCAGCTGACATCAGCACTTCCTACAATTTTTTAAATCAAAAATTGGCAACTACCTGACTTGCAAAAGGATTTGTTTTCTAGTGAATCATTTGCATTTAGAAGTGTTCCTTTATTTTCTGCTGCAGAGTTTTTACACTCTAGAGCAAAGCACCATGTGGTTAAGATGCAGAATGGGTAAAGAAGGGTAATTGTGAAAGGGAAGGTGTGAATGCAGAACAGGTCTTGACATTACAGGTGTTCCCAGAAGATCAATTTCAGCAAAGAATACATAGGGAGGTAGAGGAACTCAATACTGATCTCCTTAAATAAAAGGCATGGTCTCATATCCCCAGAAGGGCTTGGCATTTCCATGTACCCCCATTTTTAAGACCACTGCTTTACAGAACAGTCTTTATTAAATGCCTAGGTATTCTGAAATGCCATTTTGCTCCGAGTTCATCTTCATTTCCTTATGGATGCAGTAATTTGTCTTTGCTTTTGCTTTATCTCCGTCTTCCTTAACAGGGAGGCTAAAAATGGTAGTTGAAAATGAATCTTCCATCTGCAGATCCTTTGACCGTGGTCATCCCCTAAGAAGTTCAAGACAGCATGCTCATTACCATTGAAGACCATGGGCTCTTTTATTGTATTTTACACTATTTTATTCCAATAGTGAGAAATATTGCCATTACCAAGGTGGTGATCTGCCCTTGAATTTTCCAGACTGGCAGGCTCTACCAATCATTTTCTCAATAGTTGCTAAATGGCCTCTTTAGTCAGTGCTGCGTGTATCCAATCTCAAGTTCTTTGACACCTTGGTGTATCATGCTCGCTTGTATGCTCAACTTGCCTTCCTGTGCCTCTTGCATAATAAGACTCCTCTCTGCCTAGTTTTATTTTTAATCAGGAAGAACAGGTGTTTAAATCTATTGTGCTTAGGCTTGAAATTTTTTCTTTAGTATGTTTAGTGGCGTCTTTGTGGTGTCTAACTTCAGAGACTTGATGCCCTCCTGGTTCATTAATTGTTCCTCTTGTAGGTGAGGCATTTTCCCTACCTCCCTTCTCTTTAAACTCGATTACATAACAGTGCATCCTGCTCAGCAAATTTTGAATCCCCAAGGGTGGCTAAGGAGGTATAAAAGGAACATCATTAAGGCTGGAACACTGGTTTGGTGATTAGAAATGGATGGAATATTAGATCTCACTCCTCCTAAACTCACCAAAGAAGACAATAAAGGGTGTGGAGCCTCCTAGGTTTCTCTGTTTTGACTTTTGAACCATCTCTGAGTTGGAAGAAACAGGACCCATCCTCCACCCAGGAAAGCTTTCTTCCAGACTTACCTAGAAAATACCTCTAAAATCCCCCTTACTGATTCCTTTCCACACCTGCTCGCCTTTGTCTTGGTTAAGGACGAATTGCTGAGGCAAAGTATTTCAATACTGCCAAGGACCAGAAGTATTTTTTCTTGGAGCTGTGGCTAATCCTTTATAAGCTTTGGTGATTTTCTCTTTATCAGCATGAATACCATTTCTACTATATGCTATCTGCGATGCACCACAAAGCCACATCTACACAACAGAGAGGAAGAGGGCGAGCTGGTGATTTTCTGGAGAATTTAGACTTTGATTTTGAAGAATTCTGGTTTCCTTGTATCTTCTAACCTCTATCCCAAATTTGGTCAAACTGGCAGTGTTTCGGTGAAGTTTTATCAAAGCTATCGTTGGCTACTAATGACCTCTAAATTGGTTAGATGATGATGGGTGACAATCTGGCTCTGATACTTTGACTTCTCAGTCAGCCTTGGCGGGGTGGGGTGTCTCCTTTTGCTTACAGAAATGTTCAGGGGCAGCAAGCCCTAATCTGAATTTCGTTTTCTTTTTGACTAACTCTGCAAAGAACTGAGAAATGTGAGAATTGTTCCAAGAGCAAATCTCAGTTGTGTTTTTAATGGAATAGAAAGTAAAAGGTAGAAGGCATAAGAAGAACATGCCCTCTGCCAAGAGCAATATTCCAGAGCCCCATTGCAACAACCCCTTGAGAGCACAAAATTTGCTTAAGAAGAGTCTCATTTGTTGTCTGTTCAGGGGACCCAGTTACTGGAAGTGCCAGAAGGAAATCACGTTTAACGTTATACATAATCATTAAATTAGAATGGTATAACAGAAAAGGCATGGGCTTTGGAATCACACCGTGCTCCCTGGTAAACACCTTATGCCACTTTCTTAGCTTTTCTGAGACTCAGTTTATTCATGAGTTAAATGGGAATAATAAGTAGATGGAACTTCAAAGGTTGAGTGAGAATTAAATAAGTACGTGCATCGCCTAACATCATGTCTAACGCATTGTAGGTGCCAATAAATGTTAATTCTTCTCCTTCTCATCCTCTCACCTGTAGTACAGTAAAGCAGTAAGGCTAGAGTTAAGATACAGCATATATGAATGAATCAATTAAGAGAGGAATTTCAATATACGTAAGAGAAACCAAGGCAAAAGACATAAATGTGACTCTCATGGGTTTTCACAAGAATTCTCCCTTCTTTGCATAGCCACATCTTAATGATCCAATTCATGGATTATGTATTCATTAAATATTTATTGAGCACGTATTCTATGGCAAGTATTATGCTGAAGGTGCTCTTTGGGGTAGGGAGGCAGTGGAGATGTAAAGATTTTAATACAAAGCTTCCCTTTGAATTCAGGAGATAAGAGAAGACATGTAAACAGTTCTCGCTGCTGGTATGAGATAAAGTAGTGGACACAATGAGTCCTGTAGTTGGAACCAAGCTCTGTCAATTAGCCAGCCTTCTAAGCTTTCCATTGCTTTTTAATATCCCCCTTGGATTCAGGTTTGTCAAGGGTCGAACCCTGGCTCTAACTCACAGCATGATCTTGGGCAAGTCACTTTACTTCCCAAGGCATTTTCCCACTTGTAAAATGGGAATAATAATCTATCCCTATAAAGACTTTAAAAGATAATATATACGAAAAATCCTAACACAGTCAACCATTGGAGTTACCTAATTCATGATCACTTTTCAAAGGAGACAGAAAACTGGGGTAGGAGAGGTGGGGAAATTTTGGGGCCATTTTATTCCTTAGTATCAAATCTAGCAAAAACTTAAGGGAAGAAGTTACAGGCTAATGACTGTAATGAACTTTGTAAATTATTTCTTGATTTTAATTACCCATGCTATAGCTATCCTCTGTTACCACAGATAATCAAGAAGCATTAGTCAGCATTTGGCATAGTAACATGTCCAGCTAGGGAATGCAGGTTCATGTTTTTCTCCCTCATTAGATAAAAAAATGAAGCAACTTCTTTTTTTTTTTTAATTTCAGTGACAAAATGTTCCCAGCCTTTGGGTTCGGTGCCAGGATACCCCCAGAGTACACGGTGAGTGAGTAGAGATGGGGTCGTCTTTCACTTTGCTGTAGACAAAGGATAACTTGGGTTTCCTTCACAGGAGTCTCACTCTTTGAGCCCTTGATGTAATTATGTAAGCAGGGCCCAAAGAGTCAGAAAAGGTCTTCAGAATTAGCGAGATTATCTCCTTGGAGCCTGTTGTTTGATGAAACCCAATCTCCTGGTATTCTAGATGGGTCTTCTCAGAGGTCTAAAAGAAGAGTTCCATTGTTTAGCTTCTTATAGATATGGTCAGAGGCTGAGAAAACACTCAGAAAGTTGATGTCTGTCTAGTGGCTCAGAACCTATCTATTCAGATCTCCCCTAGAGAAAGATCCTATTGACAAGGCCAAGAGTCAGAGTCCATGACAATGAAATCTACAGACTTCCTCATTCCAAGTCTCTGAGTGCCAGTCTTGTGTGGGAGACACAGAGAAGTTCTAAAGAAAGAATCACTCTGGCTTAGAGAGTTGAGAAGCTGATAGATACCTGTGAATACATTGAAATCCTATTTGGTTTTGATACTGACTTCTCATGACATAAAGAAGGTGAAGACTGTGTATAGAGAGATGTGAGCTGCAGTGAACTGAGGCACTCTACTGTGGTATACCAGATGCCCCTGTAGGACACTCTCCACTGGAAACTCAGTTCCCCCAGGTGGGAGAGCCTTGGAGAGGCAGCCGCGTCCCTGCCCCAGCCTCACCGATGCCTCTGAGCCTGAGCTAAGTGCAAGCAACACTGCCCAGTTGTCCCTTTCTCTTTTACTGTGTCTGAGTTGCAGGGCAGGAGGCAGATGCTGACATTTGCTCCCACCCTGGAGCTGTCAGACAAGGGCCTTCCCCTTCTGTGGCCTTTGTGAAAGAGGGAATCCATCTCCCCGTTGCTGCTGGAGTGAGCAGTGAATGGAGTGGCATGTCCCCCGACCTGTCCTCCTTCTTGTTTGCCTTGTATCCCACACTAGCCTCCCTGCTGGGCATGGCTACAGAATTCTAGAAGCATTTGTTGGAAATAGAGCACATGGGGAGGAAGAATATAGAACAGGAGTTGTCAATTGGTGGCCTGTAGACATCATTCAGGCCACAAAAGAATTATGTTTGACACACAAATTTTTTGTAAGAATTAGACAATTTCATATAAAATGCCACATTTCTGGCTTCTCTGGAAAAACTGAAAGGCATGGCAACACTAAGATGAAAAGATTACATGTACAAGAATTAGCCAGAGCTGAAGAGGTGCAGTCCGCTTGAGATGGAGTATCAGTTCCAGAATGTGGGCAGGCGGGCGCCCACCTTCTTCACAGAGCTTCTGAGCCTCGATACTGGAATGCACCTCAACAACCACCAGTCCAAATACCCAGAGTTGCTTGAGTTTCCTCCACCACATCCACACCGGGTAGTCTTCCGGTCTCAGCCTGGCCCAGCAAGGCTGAGGACAAAGGGGTGCAGTATGCATTGTTCCAGGCCTTCCTTTTCTCATCCATGACATCTGCCTGGTCCGCTCCTGGAGTAACTTATCCTTCCTTCTGTTTTCTGAAGTCCTCATGCTCACCTGATCCCCTAGCACCACCCTGCCTGTCAGCTAACTTACACTTCCTGCTGTCCTAACAGGCATTCCTCACATATCCTCACCTCTACTCCCCAAAAGCCATTTAAATACCCCTTTTCCATCTTTTTCTAATTTCCCTTCTGCCCCAGACAGGCACTGATGGTGTCAGCAGCAGGTGCCCCCAGAGAGTTTACAAGGTCACCATCATTTACTTCTTTAGGATAAGATCTCAGAGTTTGCATCAAAACTGAGCCACAAGCACCCCTGTCTTAGTTTGCACTCTCCCGGGAATAGACCTTGAGACAAGAATTTGGATGCAAGTAGATTATTTGAGAGGTGGAGGAAACCCCAATAGAGAGTGGAGAAACGGGAGGAAGTCAACATGGTATACTAACAAGTCAGTTACCGCTATCAGCAGCTGGAGCTCAATCCTGCTGGAACCCTGGGAGACAATGCAGAGCAGACACAGATCCTGAGGGATAAGAGAGCTGGGGTGTTGACACACCGTCTCCTGTCAGCCACTGATTAAAGGCTGCTCCCAAGGGAGATTAATTACTGTCACTTGGGTGGCAAAGCAGACTCTGGAGGCCTGAGAAAAACTTAAATAAATAAAGTAAATAAAGGAGGTAAGATGTTTGGAAGTCAGCTGACTTGCCTGGAAGTGCTAAGGGCAAGTGAATTTGGGCCAGGCACCAACAGCATCAGCTCAGACCTCCCACTAAGAAAAGAGGGGTCTTTTAACACAATGACCTATTTTCTAAACCCTAAGAGAGTCAGTGCTTAGAAATAACCTTTGAATTGAGTCTCTGTAAAATTCCAAATGATCTAATAAAAATGTCCAGATGCTAGAACAGCCCTCTTGTTTTTATCAGATTTTAGAAAGAAATAAATAAACAATATGTTATTTGACCTTGTGCAAAGGTCCTGCCAGGTAGAGGAATTTGTGCTGGACGATTGTAAGGTAGATTATTACTTTATTACTTTTTCAAAAGTAGAGTGGAGTCTATTTTACCTGTATATAAGTGAAAATCCTCGTGCCCTATAGTTCTGCATCTCATGTTAGGATGATTCTTAAATGTCAACAGCTTAGGTAGAGCCTTTATAACCATCACCGTGTTGAGCAAACAGCTTGGGATATTGAGTTATCATTTTTTTTTATCACTGGGTCCAAATAAAACTCAGCCAAATCTAAGCCTCCAGTCTGTGGCCAGTTCTATCTGGAAGCTATTTGGAGTTACATTTTTCTGAAATCTTTTCTGGGATTTTTTTTATATGCTGTATTCTCCCCTCCTGCCAGCATTTATCTGATTCCAGAAAATCTTCCCGTCACCTCAACTCCACAGGGAGCTTAGAATTCACCCTCCATCTCAGATTGATTGTGTAAAGGCTTAAAATGGTTCCTGCTGCTTAACACATAATGAATGTAATGGGCATTTGTTTGCAAACTCTCAACCCCAGTGCCTCCTTACTGGATTCAAGTTGTAATTCTCCTTTCTTCCTTTTTTAAATTTTAATCCTTGTCTAGGTCTCTCATGACTTTGCAATCAACTTTAATGAAGACAACCCAGAATGTGCAGGTAAATCACGACCTAAAAAAGCCAGTGGCTCACAGCTCTTCTGCTTGTATCTTCCCATTTTAGTTTCTCTCCTCTGATGCAGTTTATCGGTTATGATTGTCCACAGCAGAGAGTTAGGCTTTCTGGGTCCAAATTAACCATGCTCCTCCAAAGGCAACAGAGAGCCACAACACAGAGCAGAAAAATAAGAGCCGGAAAAGGCAGAAGAGCTTACAGCAAGAACATTGATGCCAGTTCTGGATTCCTCTGGCCAAAAACACATGGGGGTGTTCACCTGATGGGCAGTGATAAGATACCCCTCTTTCTGCTTTCCACATTTTCTTCAAGTATTTATATCTCACAACTTCCTCTCTGTGAAGGTATAAGGAGAGGGGAAAACAAGGGAAATCATTGGACACTTTCAGCATGTTGGCAAAGGATACTTGTTTGAAGTGACTTCAAACAAGTAGCTTCGTGGTTTTGTCCCAGAAAGAACATTCTCTACGGCTTTGGTCCATGTTTCGTTATTTCCAGCTAGAAGTTCCCCAACACAATTTCAAAAAATAATGATGATTACAACTATGATGATAAATTTTATTCTAGAATTCTTTTTCCTGCTTTCTAAATAACAAATAGAGCCCAGTACATTTGTTGCTATGAAGATCATAAGACATTTTTACAGTGCAGTAGGTAGAAATGTCCGTGTCTCTCTCCTCTTTCTTGTCAAGGAGGAAGGGGGCTGAACCAGGGTGAATTCAGATCCAGTGGGGTGTGTGGAGCATCCAACAGTTTATTTCACAGATTTGGCACTTAATGTCCAAGAAAATGATATCAATATCATTGAGTCTGCATGTAATAACCTGTGAGACCCAATCTCCATTCAGCCATTATTCCCTCTCATGATTCCTCACCCCAAGTTTATTGTGATTCAGACTTCTCTCATCCCTAGCCACTGCCATTCTTGAACTGTAAAAATGGTTTCCCATCAAAGCAGAATGAAATACCCAGTGTTCACCTGTTTCACACTCTTAGAATTCATCTGCCTGATACTTTTGAAAGAGAAATTAAACTTGCTTATCTCAAGTAAAAACTCAAGAATGGAAAAAGATAAGGAGCTTCTGTTCAGCATCACTTGACTTCAAAACCAGGCTGCATAATGATTTGGCATCTGTCTTTAGTATGACAGGCTTTGAGGCAGGAAAAGAGGGTGCAGCACGTTCAGAGGAGTTGGTAGCATGTGTATAGGGGCAGAACAGAACAGAACTTGCTCATCCAAAATACCCAAGAGCTGGTTTGCAATAAATGGTGGGTGTGGAGAACAGTCTCAGCAGGGGCTTGTGTGGATCCCTCTGGCCAAAAACAGGACCAGTGTGCTGTTTCCAGGAGGTAGGAGGATGAGCTGAAACAGGGGAAGGCAAGAGGTAACACAGGCACAGACACCAAGAGGAGCTATTTGAACGAAAATCATTAGTAATGGGACTCTTACCGTGGGATCATGACTATAACATTACATGTCCAGTCAAGACTCATAAAGTGCTGGGAGAAGCTACCTGAGCAGGACTGCTGCTTCCAGCAGAGTCCCACCCTTTACTATTTCTTTGGCTCACATGGTGTCAGGATGGAGGCCCTCCTTTAAATGAGAGGGTGACCAGGATGAACATCAGTCCTCTTTACTACAATCCCCAGAAGGTGATTCTATCAGCGATGTTGCTCATTCTTCACTCACTTGGTGAGCAGCTACCATGTGCCCGACCTGCCTCAAGCCCTTTAAGGTAGTAAGTCATGATTCCTCTTACAAGGCCCTTAACATCTGGAGAGGTGGTCATGAGTACACGTGACTCCTATAGGTGGCCCAGGGTGGTATATCTACAGTAGAGTCAATAAGGTGGTATGGAAACTAGGAGCATTAAAGCTGACCTGCCTAGTCCCTGAGAGCACAGCCCTTATAGCCAGGCAGACCTGGGTTTGTATCCCGAGTCTACAACTCACTTGCTGTGTGACCTGGGGCGGATCATTTAACCTCACTAAGCCTCAGATTCTCCACTTGTAAAAGGGGTGTAACATCTATTTTTTTGTGCTATGAAGATCTACTGAAATCTTATGCGTAAAGTGGGATATTAGGGAAAAGTTTGTGTAAATGGTTGCTTTTGACTTGAGCTTTAAAGATAATGATTCCAGCTGGGGTGTAGGCAGCAACACCAGTGATATGGTATTTTCTTTTTTATCTTAAGAACATAAATGTGATGTTGATAAGGACTATCTGGGGGAATTTAATGCTTTATTTGTGTGTGTGTTCGAGGGCACTATTGAACTGTCGATCTTTACCAATTTCACCTCAGGAATTCAAGGAGTTGTGGAAGCCTATCAGAGCTGCCTTCCGAAGCTCCAACTCTATGGTCCCACCAACATCGCCCCCATCATTCAGAAGGTTGCCAAGTCAGCATCAGAGGAGACTAACACCAAGGAGGCGTCGGTAAGGAGCAGGGCAGCCCTCCTGCTATGGGAGTTTACCTTTCCTTACCTGGATATTGGCCATAGCACCCATCCCTTGCTGACAATAAATTCAAGCATTTCTACCCGTGTGAGTTTGGACAAGTGACTTAGCCTTCCCCTGTCCTCAGTCTCCTCATCTGAAAAATGGAGATAATCATACCCATCTCTGCTGGGTTATTGTGAGGCTTAGAGATGACACATCTCAAATGTCTGCAATATTACTTGAACCCAGGAGACACTCACCAATGGAAGCTACTATATTTGCTGAAGTATAGGTCATACCCACCTTATGTTTCTGGGAAGAAAAAAAAAATTGTCCAAAAAGAAGCTTGCTTTCCAATGTACCCATAGTACAGATGAAAGTGAAGCAAAACAGAAGTAAAACAATGGGTGATTCTGCCCCCTGGTGGTCAAGTGCAGCAACACAAAACATCACAGCAAAAATTTGTTTCACGTGCTGTGCGGTTTTCTTAAGAAAATGGGAACTAAGGCTACGAGGCCAAAGTTTGATTTTTTTCCCTAATATTTTTGAGTTAAATACATTACTGTAATAACTTTTCTACGTATCATTCTTAATGATATCAATGTATTTATTTTTTGGCTGGACGGCATTTTTCAGATTTAGTAGAATATTACTGATGTCTACACTTTTCTCTGTAATTTTATCCCGGAATTCAAGATACTGCATTTGCATAAAGAAAGTAATGTACTACTCCCTCATCTTCTCACATCAACTCATCTAACCTACTTGTGCTGTACCCGTGTCCTCAGCCTCCCCTCATGTCAGGATGGATGGTGAACCATTCTCCTATGCAATGTCAACTTCTCTTGTGCCCTGGAGCACATCCCCTCTCCATTATCCAAGGACCTTGATGCGGCACTTATATTCCCTCTCTCTCCTTGTCATCTATTTTTTTCCCTTTCTGCTGAAGATTCAGTCCCATTAGCAAAGAAAACACGCTATAATATCTCCCGTTGAAGTTAAAATCTCTCCCTTGACACCACTTTACCCTTTAGCTACTGTCCCTTATTTTACTTCCCTACAGAGCAAAATTCATTGAAAGAGTTGCCTGTCCTCACTGTCTCCATCTCTCTGCCCGTTGGTTCCTACACTTACTCCAGGCAGACTTTCCTCCCAGCATTCCTCTGAAAACTACACTTGTCAACGTCAGCAGAAGCTCCATCTTGCCAAACCCACAGAGGCCTGGGAGCACATTTGAATCTTCACAGATGCCAGATTTGGGGATAAGATCAATATTTCACTCTATTTTTTAACTTTTTTTTTATTATCAGAACTTCAAACTCAAATTCTTCAAATGATACCTTGCTCAGAAACCCAACATAGATAGAAATCTTAGAAAAACCTTAAACAGATTTTAAGAAAACAGACCATCCTTACTAATCTGGGCTTAGGGATGGGGTCCAAACTTGTCTTTTCCTTTACCTCCTTTATCCCCAAGAGCATCCAAGGCATCCCCAGGGCTCCCTGGAGCACAATTTGAAAACTGAATCATCTCAGCCCCTCTGGGACACCAGGACCTACAGGAGTAAAAAGAGAACACGGCCGACATAGGTCTGGATTCGGGACTGATATAAGCCAGCATATACCACTCCCCAAGGGACACATGCGTCTGCTCTGAAAGGACAGGTCAGGAAATGGTGTAGGAAGCATCCAACCCACATAGCCCCAAATGAATGCCCTCTATGGGACGGAAACACTGATTCTTTTCCCCAGAGCTTTCTTTTGGTCTGGGAACGATGTGTGGTCCAGGGCCCCGTGTTATCGCTGATTGCTAAGGGGTCCAAACTTGAACCTCTTAGACGAGTTGTGCCAGGGAGTCTGTGGCTGTAGGATTTTCTCCTCAATTTTGTGGAGCTCTTCTAGAAAGAAAAAACAAGTCCCCTCCTTATCTAAATAAGACCTCAACTACATTCAAGGACTATAATTCATTCATGAGCATTTTCCCAGCCTGACTTTGGAAGCAACTCTTACTGCTAGGTTTATTGGAAATTTCCATCAGGGTTTCGATCTGGCAGTCTGTAGCCTATTAACTTTTGCTAGATTAAACCTGGAAGGATCAGATTTTAAAATCCTGACAATCTCTTCAGACCATAAGAACCCCAAAAGGGTTCTTACCCTTTTTCATTTCGTGGACCCCATTAGCAACTGGTGAAGCCCATGGACCACTTCTCAGAAATGTTTTTAAATGCACAAAAATAAAATGTATATTATAAAATAAACCAATTATACTGAAATGCAATGTGACATAGAAGCATCATAAATATGGTAATAAAATGTTTCTTTATTAACATTAAATTATGAGAACCAGTAACCAGTCTAATAATTCTGTAATTTCTAGGTAGTGTTGTGTGTAAATGATACATTGAGATATTTGTAGCCACAGTGATATAACAGGAAAATATCTGTAATTATTGGTGACTAAGTCACAGTACAGTTAAAACTAATTTCATTTGTTCATTATATTTATAATTGAAAACAGTGACAAATTTCAGTTAGAGGTTAGTGAAAATAAAATATAATTTACCCCAAGTTCACAGACTGCCTGAAATCTTTCAACAGTCCATAGGCCCATGTTAAGAACCCCTGCACTGGATCAAAAGTCAACAAACTACATCCTGAAGCCCATTTTTCAATGGCTTACAAGTTAAGAATAGTTTTACATTTTTAAATGGTTGAAAAAAATCAAAGAATAATATTTCATGGCACATGGAAATTATATGACATTCAAACTTAAGTGTCCATCAATCAAGTTTTATTGGAACACAGCCATGCCCATTCATATTAAGTACGTATTGTCTGTGGCTGTTTCCACACTACATCGGCAGAGTTAGGTCATTGCGACAGAGACCATTATGGCCTGCAAAGTCGAAAATATTTATTATTGTCCCTTTACAGAAAATATTTTTCCAACCCCTGCCCTAGATCATTGCAACTCTAAAGGTTCTTGATGTGGTAGTGTGAATATCAGGTGTTTTTATTCCCGGAGGCATTGAGTAGGTAGGGGAGATCCATCTGCTGGACTATAAAGACCAGATCAGACAGGAGTTGGGGGAGGGAGGAGAATGGAGGAAAAGGATACAATGATTCACTCAAGGGCCCATCTGTTTATGAATCAGAAGCAGTCTCCTTCCAAGTATGGCATCTGTCCTGGCCTTCCAAGGTGCACCCGGGAAGGTTAATTTATGATTCTGGTGTATTCTATGCCCCTCCCCTCTATCCCCAAACCACCAAGGTTGCCTCCTTCTGCCCCTTCTCTCTGCACCTCCCTAGGTCCTCCATCACTTCATCCTACGGAAAACCTCTTCCAAGCTCCCAGGCCACCTTCTTTGTGAACATGTAAGACTCAAAAAGCAAAGACATGGATGAAAATTTTCAACTGGAATGAATTTGCAGATTGGGTGATCAGCTAGAACTAGGGGTGGGTAGTTAGTTACGGACATGGAACAGAATGGATCTTTACAATAAACTGTATGGAACGCGTTCCGAGCATGTGGTTGTCTTCATCATAGTGTAGTTTCAGTTCTCTCCAGTTGTATTTTTGACTGAGTTGTTTTGTTTAAAAGCATTTTATTCAAACTTACAGAGAAAAGTGGGAACTGTTTAGCACTGCCATTGTGTATGCAGCCTTTTAAGTATGATTCTCAAAACCAGATGTTTTCAAAATGTGTCTCTTCTGTCTAGCCTTTCTCTTCTGAAAGATGGCAACTTGGAATGTTTTAATTGTCCTACTGTAGATGTTGGGTATATGGCAGATATTATATCAGAAATTCTTTTGAGTTTGGCATGAGTGGCATCTCAGTGACCTGCTTCCCTCCCCTGTCACCAGTAGAGGCTGTCATGATGCCGCTCACCACTAACAGGAGTGCTGATCTCCGAGGAGCCTTCCTTCTTCACACCCCAAAGCACTTTCCAAGCCCTCCCTGTGCTGATGGGTGCAGAGCCTTTTCTCCAGTCTCCATCTCAGATGAGCCACCTTCCAGCCTCTCCAGGTGGAGAGGGGCCGGCAAGGCTGCAGGTTGGGGGCCAAGACTTAGAGCAGGAAGCCATGGAGCTCAGCAGCCTTCTGCCCAGGTGCTTGGAGAAGGGTGGCCACCTCTGAGCACACCCAAACTAGGCCTTGGCACATGGCCTTCAATTGGAGAGAGCAACCCTCGCCCTCTCTAGCAGGGCTTTAGACTAGTGCCGTCCACTAGAAATATAATGCAAGTCGTGTATGCAATTTTAAATTCTTTAGTAGCTGCATTAAAATAAGTTAGAAGAAACAGGGAAATTAATTTTAATAATATATTTTATTTAACCAAATATTACCAAAATATCCTCATTTTAACATGTACTCCATATAAAAAATTACTAATATAATATTTTACCTTTTTTTGGTACTAAATCTTCAAAATCTGGTATATATTTTACACTTATAGCATCTTAATTTGGATGCTAAGTTAAGATCCTGATACTTGATCTTTATTTGGATTTTATAAATTGATAGCTGAGAAAGTAGATTCACGTACTTGAGTTGTTCCGAACATACTTAAAAGGTTTCCAGTAACTGAGTTGGGTATCTATTTTTAAAGTTAAATTCATTAAAATGAAATAAAATAAAAATTCCGTTCCTCCATTGCTCTAGCTGCATTTCAAGGGCTCAGTAGTCACGTGGAGCTATTGTGTGGGGCAGTGCAGCTTTAGACTCTTCAACATCTCCAAGCTGAAGAAGACCGTATAGTCCCGCTTCATTTGAGATAGGAAGAGGCTGAGACCCAGAGGAGTTAAGGGATTTCCCCAGGATCTCAGAGAAGGAGGCTTTGAAGCCAGCCCTCTTGACTCCTCTCTGCTGCTCTTTCTGCCACACTGTGCTTTGTAATCGTCACTAAGGTGGTTATTGGAATTAACCTACAATTGCTGTGCCTGCCTTTAAGCTCCATTCATCATAACCTGAAGTCTTTAGGGCAGGGCTGTCTGCACAGGCACTCAAAAAATGTCTGTGTTCAGCATGCACTGAAACCACCCCAGGTGCGTAACTGGTATTGTCCTTGTCTCCCCCATCTCTCTGTCCCCATTGTCACCTGACACCTGATTGACCGATCACAGCAATACTTCATCCTGCTGATCCTGACCGACGGCGTCATCACAGACATGGCTGACACCCGGGAGGCTATTGTCCACGCCTCCCACCTGCCCATGTCGGTCATCATCGTGGGAGTGGGCAACGCTGACTTCAGTGACATGCAGATGCTGGACGGTGACGATGGAATTCTGAGGTCGCCCAAGGGAGAGCCTGTCCTTCGGGACATCGTCCAGTTCGTACCCTTCAGGAACTTCAAACACGTACGCATATCTTGGGGGCTTCCCATGGGAGAACAGAATCAAAGCAAGCTCACTCCCACATTTTTCGACCAATGTTTGTAGTGAAACAATGCCTCCTATCCCTCCCTCGGCCAGGCCATCTCCCACACAAGGATATGTAGATCTAGACTCTTGGAGAAAGAAGTGTAACTTGAGTTGTAGATAAGGAGTCATGCTAACTATGGTAGCCAACATTTCACTGACGCTCACCCTCATCCATATAGTTCAGGATCTCTAGTGCCCCCAGCGCTGTCACGTACAGTTGGGCAGGCTGTTCCCTGCCCAAGGGTGTATGGCTGAAGATGCAAGGAAAACCCAAAATTCAGCCTGGGTTCTGCTTGTCAAGCCATGTCCCCTGGCAGAGCCTGGGTTTGCTTTGGCAAAGTATGTTTTCAAAGTGATAGAAACCTAAATCTTCTATAATACATAGTAAGAAGCATCAAAGATTTATCTAACTCATTAATGAGGGAACCAGCAGGATGACAAAGCTAGTTCAAAGAAGGATATAAAACAGTCAATTATGGTCAGTGGGGAAAAGTGCTGGAATAAGTTTGCTGAGGCAGATTCAAAACTCATTAATGACCAAAAGGGTTGGGAAAAGACCAATCTTTGGATTACCTTCTCTACTGGACCGAAGTCTTATCAGTGTTCTGCAATATCTAGCTTTACAGTTGTGGGCTCTAATCAGTAATAAATAATAAGTCAAGCAGCGTTACATTCCCCCGATGACCTTAGAGCAGGCCCATTAGACAGTGCTCTAGTGTGACACCGAGACAGTGCTCAATAACAATTTTTCCTCGTTTCCAAATTTTGGATAATTATTAACTCCCCAGAAGAAGGGGCACCTTTAAAATTTCCACAAACCCTGCACCTATGAGGCTGCAATTGCCCAGAGGGACACCTTCTCTGATTCATACAAAGGCTCCCTCTGGGCTGCTGGTGGCCCTGAAGAACCCTTCAGAGCCTCCCCCAGCTGGGTCTGGGAGTCCATGGGGGTCCCAGGGGTTGTCAGAGACAGTCCTCTCTGTTCTTCTGTTCTGTGCCCCTTGTGAAAGCCGCCCGAGAGCAGAGCATCCCTGGCACCTGCCACCCAGTGAGGCCTCGCCCTCCACACTGCTGGTGGTGCCAGCAGACCTGCTCCCAGTGGCTGGTGTCTGAGCTTCAGCTGCCCCAGCGGGAGAGATCTCTAGAATCATCAGTGCCCTGAAGCTGCCCGGCAGTCCCCTTGAAAATGACAAGAATCCCCTCCTTTCTGTGCTGCAGAGACCCCTCTGTCACCTGAACCATTGATGCAGTGAACTCTGTGTCCCCACATCTCCAGGATCCCTACTGGAAACATCTTCTTTACCTTCTACTGCAGCCACTGCGTCCTCATGCTGCAGTCGGTTTTTTAGAGTCAGAGAGAGGAAGGGACAGGCACTACGCCGTCCTCTCTGAGCTCTCCCTCCTGATGCTTTTTTGGAAAAGTCTTTCTCCTCCAGCCAAAAACCCTCATTCAAATGAACCCCTGGCACTCTTCCAGCTAGTTTATCGGATAGGTCCAGGCACATGTGAATCCCCATTGGGGCTCACACTGGAACCCCAGCTACGCTGGGTAGGGTGAGGAGAGAGAGTAGAAGGATGGCTGGATAGTTGTTTGTTATAGACAAGTCCCAGTGTCAGTGTCAGAGGCTTGGGCATATGCTTTTCATCAATTGCTGTTGTTTCTGCCACCTTCTTGGGACGTTCTTTAAAGTGAGCATTCAGGTAAATCACGAGCCCAGCAGCCCCTGCTGAACCCTAGATCTCATGACTGCCAGGACTGCCCAGGGAGCTCACTGCACACCCAGGGCTCCTGGAAAGACGAGGTATTGGTTATAACCATCCTGCCACACTATTACGATTCTCCTTTTAAGGAGGGCTGCAGTGCAAGTAGAATCGTTAAAGAAGCCTGAAATCAATCTCTGGCTACCGAGTGGAGTGCAGAGGGAGTCTCCAAGTAGCAGAAGCACAGGGGCAGAGAGTGTGGGTGGGGGGCAACTTGCTACCATAGCCCGCCTTCTACTTGCCCGAGCTGGAGGTTTCCGAATGAAACCACTCATTAAATGAAGGCAGCTCACCAAGCCCTCATTGTCTGCATATGGGCGGCAAGGAGTGGAGTCAAAAAGAAGTAGACTCCTCTGCAAGGAGGGGTGTGCCAGGGCAGGCCAAATTTGCTGCAAGTGTGTTCAGCAATGAAGCTCCTGACTTGCATGATGCTCAATGTAGGGAGAAGGGTGTTTTCCAGATCTCGATGTCCTGCCCCATTTTGTCAGCCAGACAGAAGTAGCCGCATCTCCGACCACCTCCCATAACTTTGCCTGAGTGAAGAGGGGTCAAGAGGTGACTCCCTAGGAGATTCATGCACTTCCCCAAACCACCCTCTCCCTGCGCCCCTACACACACACACACACACACATCTGTGTGCTAAACCAATGCCACCAAGCCACACAAGGATCTAGCCTCCTCCTCTTCCTCAAACACTCATGGAGTGCCTGCTGTGTGCAAGCCATGTACTTGCACTGGGACCACAGTGAGATAATACAGCAATGGGTCCAGGTCAAGGAATTTACTGGAGAATTGCATGGTTGGGACATAGAACAATCCCATGCTAAGCAACCCGTGGGTAGCTGAGAAGGGCTAAAATGTTGCTACAAGACTTCAGGGCAGAGAAGTAGCCATGAGGAAAACCTTACAGCTTGAGCTGGGTATACAAGGCCAGAGCTTGGGGAGTGGGGAGGTGAGGGGGCCTCGGCAACAAGGGCGGTGGCCTGAGCAGGGCAAGGAAGTGGGGCCCCACACACTGTCTCTCGGCTACACAGAGCCTCCAGCTACTCCGCGATGACTAAAGCAAACGCCAGCAGCATATCACCCACCTTATCTTTGCGGATTTCAAATTAGATTTTGAAAACCATTTCATTATCCAAACTAATCTACTCTGGATTCAATAAGCCATAAATAAAATGGAAGGTGAGTAGCTGATATCATTTCATATAAGCCAGTAACCCATGAATTGCCTCTTTTTCTGCTCTGCGTGATAACTTGGAGCTTTGAAGTAGACAGGACACAGGCTCTGAGCTCTGTGGCTCTGGGCGAGTGATTTAACCTCTCTGGGCCACAGACTCCTATCTGTAAAATAAGGCAAATGACACACACACTGGAAGATTTAAGGTGGTGTCTATATAAAGCTTAGCACAGCACCAGGTGTGTGTAGGAGGTTAATAAATACAGCTGTTATAACAGCTGCTTTCATATTTTTGGCCTTTTCCCAACCAACTCACGCCCCTCAAGCCCTGTTTGCTCACCAGAGCCACCAGCACAGATATGCCAAGTGGTGGGAGGATGGCTTAGGAGCTGTGCTGTCCGATATAGTAGCACATAGCCACATGTGGCGATTTACGTTTAACCTCACTAAAATTCAATCCAATTAAAAATGCAGTTTTTCAGTCACACTAGCCACGTTTCAAGGGTTCAATAACTGCATGTGTCTAGTGACCACCATATTGGTCAGTGTAGACATAGAATATTTCCATCTCCGCAGCAAGTTCTATTTGACAGCACTGGTTAGGAAAATTTTTGTCTTCAAATAACAGCAAATCCCTCTTACAGTGGAGTCCACGAGTGGTTCTTAATCAAGGGTGGCTTCCCCCCCAGGGGACATTTGGCAATGTCTGGAGATAATTTTGATGGTGACAGTTGTGGAATACTATTCATATCTAGCAGGTAGAGGCTAGGGATGCTGGTAAACATCCCACAATACAAGGACAGTTCCCCATACAAAGAATTCTCTGGCCCAAAATAGCAATAGTGCCAAAGTTGAGAAAGTCTGGATTATATATGTGCAAATATATTTTTCTCATGTAGCTAGAAGTTAGGGGCTGGTGGCTGCTGACATTTGTTTTTTCAGTGATTCAATAGTGTCAGGGCCAGCACCTGGTGATTCCCTTTGCTATTCCCTCATAATGATAAAGTGGTTGCCATAGCTCCAGGAATCACATTCTAGTTCAAGGAAAAAAGAGAGAGGAAAGGGAAACAGAGCCAACCATGTCTATCCCCTTTAACCAGGAAAGAAAAGCTTTCCAAGAAACATCTCCCAGGAAACTTCCAGTTGTGCTTCAAAGGATGAAATTGGGTCACATGGCCGTCCCTAGATGCAAGAGAGGCTGGGAAATCAAGTCTTTGGCCTTCTAACTTTTATGTGGGAGATGGCCAGAGAGAAAAGCATGGGAATGACTTTTGTATCTACCCCAGTGTACACATGGCCCATGATCTAACGCACAACCCTGAGCAGTTATTTATAAAATAAAAGATCATTCATGGATGCCGAATGTCCAACATGCTATGGCATCTTCAGTGTTTTCAGATTGCTTTTAAGATACGTGTCCCTTGTTTCGAGCCTCCTAAACACTCTGTGAGATAGAATGAATTCTTATTCTTTCCTATTTTGTCTCTGAGAACACTGGGGCTTAACAAAGCTGAATGGCTGAGTGACAAGCCACATAGGAAGGAAAGATCTAGAAACCAGGTCCTCCGGCATTTAGGTCAGCCCTTTTTGCTCCAGGTCTTTCCTGAGGAATCCCAAACACGTGTTAACTGGTCACTCTGCTTCAAGTTTTCAACCTCTCCAGTAATTGTTAACAGCGAGGCTCGGGCAGCTTTACTCGCCCAGGGGTTGGGCAGTTAGTACCGAACGCCAGAAGTCAAACCCAGCTCTTCGTGACTCCAGGGACCAGGCAGGATATCAACCTCCACCTTCTCCTGCCCCAAATCATAAAGGAGGGCTGTAATGCAGGTAGAATAAAGGCTGCATGAATTAGAGTGGCATTCAAGACCCTCTATCACCCGCCTCAAGCTGATTGCCGATTAGATTCTCCACCAATTCGGCATGCTCAACACCCACACACACACTCACTCACACACACACACACTCTTCCTTCAGCCCCATCAGATGACTCACTGACCCTAGAATGATCAAATGCCAGTCCCCTCCTTCTCTACATTTTAAAACATGCCCAACTGAAATGCCACCTCCTCTTGGAAGCCTGCTGTGATTCCTCCAAGCTGATTTAGTCTCTTTATTTTCTGTACTCTGGTCACAGTGCTTGTGACTCTCTAGAGCAGTGCTCCTCAAATTTCAATATGCATAGAAATCACCAGGGTGTCAAGTTAAAATGCACATTCTGATTGAGCAGCTCTGGGATGGGTGTAACGTTCTACATTTCTAATAAGCCCCCATGTGATGGTCTGTAGCATGTACCATGTTCTACCTCACAGTAGGGTGAATTTTGGTCACACCAGGCTCCCCTCACGTGATTGTAACTTCCATAATGGCAAGAACCTTAGACCCCGGGAACCCTAGCAGAGTGCCTGGAACATAATTAACATGGTGTCTGGCATCGAATGCAAATCAGAGACAAAGCTGCAGAATTCATTCTGCCATCCAACTTTCACCCATCTTCACATGTGAATCTTTTTGTATCTTGAGACAGGCATGAAAAAATATAATTATGAAATTAAAGTTTCATTTTCCAACGATCTGACAACTCCTGCTTGGAGTAGACAAATATTGAATGAATGAATGAACGAATGAGAGAGACTAGCTGCTCAGAGTGGGACTCAAGTCTTTTAGGCTGCTTCTGGATCTGATTCCTTTGGCCAGGTGCCAAAATCATGGTAATTTCTTCTTCCCTGCAGGCATCTCCAGCTGCCCTGGCAAAGAGCGTGTTGGCTGAAGTTCCAAACCAAGTCGTGGACTATTACAATGGCAAAGGGATTAAGCCAAAATGTTCATCAGAAATGTATGAGTCTTCCCGGACACTAGCACCGTGAACTCCACGCACTTTTACAGAGTTCTGAAATACTATTCCTGCTAATATTTAATACTTCTACTACTCCTGTACTTAAAAAACACACGCACATACACATTCAAAAATAGCACGTTTTGGTGATTTTTAACTAACCGACAGTTTTTTTTTGCATGTGTAGCCCTGAGGCCTGGATCTATTAAGCCCGCATATTGTTAAAGACTTTTTACAAAGAAACACAGATAATGATAACTTATTCTTTACAGCATGTCGCCTTGAAATAAAATGGTATCTGTATCTGTTTTTTATACAGGTTTGTTGAAATTTTGCTAAATTTCTTATTATCTTTACACTGTAAAGCATTTTGAAACATTTATTGAATGTTGATAGCCAAAACATATTTGGTTTTATCTGCTACAGGATGAGAGACTTTTCAAAATGGCAGATGCATGGACTGTATTTTGCATGTTTAAAATAAAAAAAAACAACAACACACTGTTTTTGCAGTTGTTATCTCTAGTTCCTCCCTGCTGGGAATGGTCTCTCTGATGAAGAGGTTTGTCACCTAGAGGTAGTCTTCAAGTGGGTCTGGGGCACCGAGCCCAGTATCTCTAGATTTTACTGTGCACGCAAACCACATGAGGAGCTTGTTAAAATTCAGACTGTGATGCAATAGGTCTGCGTGGGCCCACGATTCTGCAGCTCTAACAAGCTGCCAGGTGGGGCCAGTGCAGTCCTCAGGCCACACTAAGAGCACCGAGCTTCTAGACTTCAGGGTGTGAGTGTAGAGACCACCCGAGGCAGGGCCGCACCTAGTCTGCTTGAGAATGGCGCCTCTTCCCTGCCAGTAGCACAAGCTCCTGCCGGTCTCCGAGGTGGGAGTAGAAAGTAATGAGACTGATTCCAGAAGCTGCACACCCCCATCAGTCTCACTGCTTTATAGTCACACCTCCTCCTTAAACAGACTAGGGAGAGCTCCTGGGCCGGCCCCTGCCCTCTATAAGGAGGCGCCACACACACCAGTGCGTGGATGGTTCCGTGTTGATTCAGTGGAACCACCACAATGGAAACTTGTCCATGGCAAATGGCCGGGCAGTATGGCTCCCCAGAAATGAGGCCCACCAAGCTGACCTTTAAGCTTAGTGTAGGGCTTCTTTTTGCCTTTTTTACCACTCCTGAGAGCAAACTCGACGAGCAGAAATGCCTGGAATCATTGTCTTGAGTGGAGGTGTTTTGTTTCAACCTAAACTGGCCAGTCTTGAAGCAAAAGAATGCCTGTTTCCTGTATAATCTTCTTGCAGAGAAATGGACAAGTGTTTTGCAGGCATAAAAAGCACAAGGCGGAATTTATTTTTGATCAGAAAGATGGGGAAGTAAATCACAAGGCAAAATAGAACTGTTTGTTGTTTATTTGTTGAGGGGGGAAATGTTAACAAGCAACTCAAATGCCTTGTATGATTTCCAGTGTTATAATTATAGATCCTAACCTTGCAAATACATGTCAGCCAAATGCACAACATTTTGGGAATGATGGTAAAAATGTATGACTGAAAAAAATCATAAATATTTAAACTGTATTGTTTTATGAATAAATTGGGTACTTACAGAATTTTCTATGAGTTATAGTCTTGTGTCTCTTTTCAAGGCAATTTCCAAGCAGTGATTTATTTCATGCAGATGACATGGCCTTAGATTAGGAATAGTTCTTTCACAGTCCCATAAAAATATATGGATCATTGTTTTTAACAAACAAGGGATTAAAATATTTAGGCCCAATCCTACAGAAATATCCAGTGGTTGTTTCTAACCCCAAACCAGGACCTGATTTTCCGTGTCTACGTGCCTGGAACGTAGAAGCACTCAACAGAGGTTTAACAAATAAAGAGATGACTGATCTAATGAATGAATTAATGCATGCATGAATGAATGGACTTGTTAATGTGTCTCATGATCAATCTCAAGTTGTAGCTCTAACAGGTGGGGTAAGTGACTGGGGCTGTCATTCTCAAGTATCTGTTGGGATCTACTACATTCATGCCATGATCCCTGGGATCTGTGAGACACAGTGATGAGGACAGAGTCTAATTTGCCTGGCGGAACCTTAAGGCAGTTTACTTCCCTTTTCATACCCAGACTCAAGACCAGCTCAAAAGAATAATGAAAATAATAGCTAACAGTTACTGAGGGCTTACTGTGTGCCAGCCACTGTTCTAAGTGCTTATCTCATACTATCTCATTTAATTCTCCCAACAGCCCCATAAGGTAGGCAGTATTATTAGTCTCATCTTGCAGAAAAGGCAACTGAGACACTGAGAGGCTGGGTAACTAACCTAAGGTCATACAGCTATCAAAAGGCATAACCAGGATTTGAACACAGACATTCTGGCTCCTGAGCCCAAACTCATTATATAATCCCCATTTCAGTTACCTTTCTGGCACTATGGCCATCCACTTGCCATACAAAGCAACAGATTATTAAGAGATTTGAGAAAATGAGCCTTAATATATGACCCTTACTTCCATTTCAGAAATTTATGTCTCATTTGGTGATCTCAGCCTCTTGTTGTAGGTTCTTAGCAACTTGAAGAGTCTCAGAATACAACCAGGTCTCCCCAACTTCTTGCCACCAAGGAGACCATGTAGATCAGACATGACAAATGCAGTTACTCCCAGGAGCTGAACAAGCCACGTGAACAACCGAGGAGGAACAGGTTTAAACAAAGAGACTGAAAGAGTAGAGTGTGGTGAGGATGAAGGAAAACTGGAAAGCATGTGTGCAGAAGAGGACAGCTGCCACACACCTCCAGGGGCGATGCGCCAGTGTGGACCCAATGCAGCCAGTCCATCTCATTTTTCAGAAGAATTGAAAAATCTGGTATTTCACATAAAACCTACCAATTTGTAAATATGGGAAACTCATTCAAAATTAAACAACTGTTTTAAACACTCCGAGGGCCAAACTGTATGAGTCAAATAAAAAATACCTCTGGGCTTACATTGGCTCTGAAGTGCAAATTTGGAACAGCTGACTTATATCCATGGCCTGCCCTCCACCAGGTCTCAACAGATACTATAGACTCTTCTAAATTCTTGAGGACACCAAAGAGATTTTATTTCTGTGGTTTATGTCTAACAATATTTGCTACATTAGAAATTGAAACTGAAAATGTAATATATTTATTAATTCATTTAAACAACAATAAACCCATTACATGTTAATATAAATGAAATATTTTATAAAAAGCCTATATTTTCAAAACCAAAAAATAGTCACTGAGACAAGCAGCATTGTGTGTCTTGCTTAATGAAAGACAGCTGGATTCTCACATCTGCTTCTGCATTCAGCCTGTTGTGAAATGATGTTTTGGTTGAAGTACAATAAAGAAAATATAGCTGCACGTGGCTGTGTAGTTGGTAAGGGGAGGAGTATTTTTACCTTTCTCAGATAACTGTACTTATTGTTTTTACCACACCAAAACTCAACACGTGGTAGTTTCTTAAAGGTTAGTTGCAATGTGGAATATGAAATCATGTCAATAAACCTCATGGCATTTTCAATGGTTCTTTTACCTATGCATGATTTTGTAATGTCATGCACTGGTCATTTGGAAAATATTGGTCCACTCGGTTATTCCTATGTTCCAAAAGCCTATACAGTTTATTTTACAATATCAAAAAGAAAATCACATTCTTTTGCTGTAGAATATCACTGCCGATCTCATCAGACAGTCTAAGTATTGAGAATCTGTCAAGTTATGGTGGCAAGTTCAGGTTTTCCAAAATTCTAATCTTTGTTAGAAAGTTCAAATGTTAGCATTGGCAACAAATGCTGTCAGTTGTTTTTCTTGAAGTGACAGGCTCATTTCATTCATTTTCAAGAAAATATCTCCCAAATACTCATGTCTGAATAACTCTAGTATATCTGTCGAGGATTGGCAGATGTTAGCACAGGGCTGTAAAAAAAAAAAAAAAAAAAAAAAGCAGCTAGTTTAAGCCACAACACAATGGCACACGTGCTGTTATTTGAGGCAACCTCAGGTTAGAATGCACCAGAAGGGCTTTATGGATGCTGTGCATTTTGTCACTCAGCATTTATAAAGACATGGACTGAAGGGTCTTCACTCCTAGAGGATTTCCACATCCCTTCCATGCTTTCCATGTGGCCCCTTCCAGCACTGGTGGGTCAAGTACCCCCCAAACATTGAGTTGCTCAGACTTCTCCTTCTGCAGCACCTCTCTGAATTCATCCAGAGTTCTCCACTTTTAAGGGTTCATGTGATTGTATTGGACCACCCAGATATTCCAGGATTCACTAACCTAAGATCTATAACCTTAATTACATCTGCAAAGTCTCTGGTGTCATGTAACGTAACATGTTTATAAGTTCCAGGGATTCGGGCTTGGACACATTTAAGGTGCCATTCTGCCTACATGAAGGGAATGCAAGATATTGCCAGATGATTCTAAAAGGAAATGTGGGGGGTTCAAGAACTGTAAGAGGGCTGCCCACAGAGACAGAAGGAGGATATAGACGAGGCCAAGGAGTGGTGGTAAAAATACCTGCTGATCCCAAATCTCTGCCCAGGAGAGCCAGTTCTAAATTGGTTTGAATACCTCTGTTTTTCAATCCTTCCAGCACTTGCTAAGTACCTGCCCTGCACTAGGCTTGGAGGTGTGGACTGGGAATAGGAGTTAGAAGTGAAGGAGGCAGAAGGAAAAATACATGGTCTCTCCTCCTAGAGGAGCTCACAGCCTAGAGCTGCCCTCTAATACGAGGACTGTGGAATCCTGTTAGACATATCTTACATGCCTTAACATTTAAGACATATAATTATTAAGGACTTTATCATGAAAATGTTCTTAAATATTGAAAGTAGAAGAGTGGTAGAGGGAGAGAGGTAGAGACATGCGTGAGAAGAAGCCTGCCAACCTTTTTCATCATCATCCTCTGCCTTGCCCCCCACAGGAAATAGAACTTCAAATCAGTCCTAAAAAAATTGAACTTTCTAAATATCTCTAGACTCTGTTCCCTCCTCTTCAGCATAGTTCTGTGGAAATACCTAGTGTTATCAAGCCAGAACACCCTGGATCCAAATTCAATTCAATCTTTAGTACTTAAGAGTTGGATATCTCTGAGCCTCAATTTTCCCCTCTGTGGAATGGGGAGAATAATTCCTACTTGGACAAGTTGCTGTGTGGATTTGAGATAACACATGTAAGCCCTTAGAACAATGTCTGGTGTCGCAGGTTGGGTTCCCCAAGAAGTAAACTGTAAGACTGAGATTAGTGTGCAGGTAGATTATTACAGAAGCATTCTCAGGATAACGAACTGTGGAAGGAAAGGGAAGGAAGTGGGACTGGACAGAGGAAATGTGGGGTTGCCACAAAGGTCTTAGCTCACCCCACAGGTAGATTTGAACCTAGAACAACCCTTCAAATTTATCCCAAGTTGAAGCAAGGAGGCCGGGCCTGTATACCCCCTTATAGACCAGCCAGTAGATGTGAGCTGCCTCAAGAAGAGGGTTGGTTTGAGGCAAGGCAGGTCTCTTCAACTGAGGAAATTTCAGAAGAGGTCAGCTTCTGGGGTTCAGCAACTGGAGGAATAAGTCCTTCAGTCCTGAAGGGAAGATCTGGGTTGCACAGCACAGCGTCCGTGACAGGTGCATATGGCAAGTACTCAGTACATTGTAACATTTGCTATTGTTATTGTCATCATCATTTTTATCCTTCTTTTTATAGCCACAGCCCCTGACTTAGTTTAAGTCTTTATCATCTCTTGTCTGGGATATAGAAGAGCTTCCTCACTGGTTTTCCTAGTCTATCTTGCCTTCATCTGATCTACTCTCCATACTGCTGCCAGTGTGGTGGTTATAAAGCAAACCTAAGCATCTCTCTGCTCTGCTTAAAATCCTTCAGTAGCTCCCTTCAACTTCAAAATAAAGTCCCAACTCTTGAATGTGACCTTGAACATAACATATACCTGACTTTCATCATCTGATCCTTGTCCACTTTTCCTGCCCACCTCTAGCCACCCCACTCCACACTGCTGTCTAATAACCTCCTCACACCACATTTGTTGAAGCTTCCCCCATTCCACTCCTTCACTTAGTTGACTTCTACTTATCTTTGAAGTCTCAGGTGACAACTCCTCTCAGAAGCCTTCCTGAACCTTCCCCCCCAGACTTGGCCAGGTATTCCTCCTGCCAGTTCCCTTTTCACCTGTGCATACTTCTGTTGGAACCTCTCTCTCCAACTAGAACCTCAGTCTCCCCCAGAGAGCAGGTCCCTGTCTTACTCACCTTTGTACTCTCGAGTCCTATTATTGGTAGTCAACACATAATTAGAAGCATGCAGGGTAAATCGGTAAGAGGAGGTGCCCTTCTGCTGGGAGGGGAACCAGGTCTGTGATAGGTCTCACTGCAGTCTTTGGAGAGAAGCAGCTGCTGAGCACAAGCCAGATTCTAGTGCATTAACTTCCATTTCACCAAAATCCTCAGTTTAACACAAAGATTTCCAGACAGACACTATTAAGTTCATCAAACTTATCACACAAGAGAATGTGACCAGTGTCTTAAAGTTTATGTAATACAATTACGTAATCCAGATGTC